ACAGTGAAGGTTAAAATTCAAAGTAAATATAATCTTCAAGTTCATTAGCACATTCACACTAACTCTTTACATTCATTATCACTATATACTAGCAATATACTTACTTGATCCTCAGATACAAGCAAAGGGTGTGTCGATTCTTCACCTACTGAAGGCAGGCGGGCACTTCCCACAGAAGGATGTCTGCTTGAAGGATGAGATGAGCCATCTCCAAATGAGGGATATCGGGGATATCCATTAGGTAAGCTCTGAGCAGCAAACCCTGGAGCTGAGAAAATTTTGTTTATTGGTTTAAAGAGAAAGGCAGGATATGGGGATAGGAGGGAGAATGACCATCAGGTTTCTACTGAGAGATTTATGGAAGAGAGTAGAAAATAAAGGAACAAATAGCCCCATTCCATGTTTTATTCACATTTTATCATAGGAGTCAAAAAGTATCGTTATTAGGGTTCTAGTACAGTTTTATGCCAAACAAAACATGCTTAAACATGTCTCTGCAACCAGGGGACAGCTGCAGACAAGATGTCTTGGAATACACCTGTCTTAATCTGACTAGGAGACATTAAAAAAAAGAAATGAAAAAAGTCTAAGCCAAACAGTGGCTTCAAAGACTGCTGGGGTGGTTCAATTCAAGGCACAGAGGTCAGCTCAGAAGACTACCACAACTGGTTTTTGCGATTCCAAATGGGTAATCTTGGTAGGTTTTCTAAAAAGAAAAAGGGCAATCAAGGGGGCTTAATAGGAAGAAGTTTTAGGAAAATGATACCCACACCTGATCATCCGTCGAGGCTAGCAAGGGCTGTCCTATGAGAATTTCACTGGAAAACCCATCCACTCTACAAGGTCTGACTTTGGTCCTTTGAGACTTCATTTTGCTCCCCAAGTTCAAATACTACTGAAAAGGAACATCTGAGTTCCTCAAGGACGCTTCAACTCTTACCGTGATATGGTGTAAATCAAACAGCGCAGAAGTATTCAGGGAAGGGATGGAGCTAATGGAAACATTGCTTTCAAAAGTATGTAAACCTAGATGCAGGATATGTGAAAAAGCAATAGCTTCACATTTTTGGTTAATAAAGGCTTCTATGATATTTTGTAGCGATACCTTTTGCTTTACTCTCATTTTGAGAATTTGCTGTTTTGATACAGTTTTGAACACGGACAGTCATTAAATCAGTAGCTAGTGATTTCTGGTGTGCTGCTCCAACTGTGACCCTGGGAACGGGGACTTACTTGTAGGTGTTCGAGGTGTTCTGGGAACCTCCAATTCTGCCTGAGGGTTGGTCCTTTCTACCACTGGCTCCTCCACCACATTTATACTATTATTTTGCATAATCTCTTGCAACATGTTGAATAATTCTTCTGCACGAGCACACTTAAAGGCAAAGATTCCTATAAATATAAACCAGAAGGGAAAAATGGTGACCAAGGTGTCAAAAGAGCTATAGAAGCACCCGCCAAAGAATAAACCTGCAAAATATGCATTCTGCGCACCAGTTGCAAGTTGCAAAACATAAGATCCTAAAGAAAATCTCCAGAATACTTTGACTGTCTCTGGTTCCAAAGCAAATCAGACAAAAAACAAGGTTGCATGCTGAATCTAGTCTCCTTTCTGACAGCAGGGGGAGCACATTTCTTCATGCTTAAGGTGAGCAGTTACCATTTCATAGGACTTATTAGGCATTTTACATCATTATTTTGCTTCATTATTCTAAGAACTCTCTGAGAGAGAAGCTCTAGTGTGACAGTGGGTTCTGAGTTGGGCTGCTAAGGGCAAGGTCAGCGGCTGGAACCCACACAGCCACCCCTCGGGAGAAATGCTCTGTCAAGATGTACAGTCTTAGCAGCTCTTTGGGGCTGCTATGAGTCCAATCTAGCCAATGGCAGTGAGTTTGGAGCTTTTAAACATGTAAGACAGGCATCACCATTTCACCTTTACTGAGAAAATTCTTGAAGCCCAGCAACAGTCATGCACTTTGCCGAAGGCCATCCAGGTAGTAGGTAGCAGAGAATTAAACAAGATTTGGTTGGCTCTTGTTTAGACTCTTTCCCCAACATCAAGTTAGAATGACAGAGATGTGATGGGGTATCCAAAAGTTCATGGGAAAATTCCACATCTTTTAATTCCATTTTCCCATGAACTCAGTAGTCTAACTCCCCCGTATAGTTAAGGTACTAGAATTATTAGCTTAGTGAAAGTCTTAAAAAGCTGAAATATATAAAAAAATTCTTTACAGGGGAAATATGCTTCAGCAAACATGTGTCAAATGAACAGTTAACCATATCTATCTTTTTGACAATCCATTTATTTGCTGTTTTTTTTTTCTTTTAGGAGAAAGTAAAAACTAATTTAACATCATATATACAATAACTGAAAGAACAATGTCTTAAATATTATAAAGCTTGGAGAAAAAAAATAGTACCCACCTTGTCCAGTTTGACACCTTCGACCACTTTCAAAAGAAAAGAGATTTGAATCATAGCCATAGCGTCGCAGGCAGAGGTAGTGCCATTTTACCGAGTCACGTTTGCGGGTATACAAAATCAGTTCTGTGTCTGTAAGCTCCATTATGCCAGAACCTAACTCATTTCCATCATCGTCCACATTAATGACCTAAAAAAGAAGGTTCAATTAATGCTAAGATCATCCTTCCACATGATACTCAAACATATAGTTTAACAACTCATCAGAAAAAACATCCTTGGTTCAATTATCTATTAATTTGCTAGTTCATCAAATGTATGTAGCACACAGACTATGTAGCAATGTATTCCTCACAACTGTAAGGTATTTACATTATCATTGGGGAGTCAAGATATACAAACAACACCACAAACCCAACAGCACAAAAGGAATATGAATACAAAAGACTATAATAGAGGCTGTAAAGGTGAAGAATTATAGTTTAAGGCTAGTGGAGAAACCTTCATATAAGAAAAGGCTTTAGCTGGGTTTCAGGGACAGTTAATTGAGTTAGGAAACAAGTGGGGAAAGTCAAAGGGTAAGAAGTTGTAGGACATGAAATAAAGATAAAAGCTAAGTAGAAACAAAGAAGGTTATGTTTCAAACAGATCAAAATAAGATTGGCACACAGTTCATGTAAAGGATGGAGTTTTTACTGCAGAGATTCAGACAAAGACTAAAACGTATACATAAAATTTATGGTGAGCTTATTACTACGTGCCTAGAAATGAGTGAAGTGGTTCACATACATTCTTCTCATTTACACAATCCTAGGCTGCAGGTAATACAATATTTTTCATTGTATAAAAATGGAACTAATTTGTGATAATGTAACCTGTCCAAGGTCACAAAACTATGAAATAACAAGGTTGTGACTTATACTCAGATTTGTTTGATCTAGTGGCTATAATTCATCCCAATGTGACTAAGGTCAGATTCCAAACACGTAAGTAGCTCTGGATGAATGAGGAAGAGAGCAGAGTCTAGAGAGAAAGACACCACAGACCTGTTAGTGCAACAGTTTAGTGAATGATGAAAGAGGATAGGTTACTGGGGTGACTGGAGGCAGATTGCAGTGAGGAGACTCTGCAGCCAGGAAGTGATCAGGTTTTGGCTAGGAAGCAATGATAGGACAACAAAGGTACCCTTGTGGTGGCATTTGAAAGACAGGACTAGCACAACTGTGTGGCTAATTGGATAGAGAGGACCCAGAGAAAGGTCAAAGAGAATTCTGCACTGTTATTAGGAAAAAAGCTACCAACACTTGTTAACAAAAGAAAAGACCGTTTGGAAGGAAAGCAAGCAAAGACATAAGCGTGAGGAGGTAAGAACTGACCTTGAACTTGTTTCGATGGTTATCTGGGATGGTGTCTTTATCTGGACAGCTACAACAGCTACCCATGGCTTCTTCAGAAGACCATGTGAGCTCTATGGGAAAACATGATTCGGAAACAATCGTTAGAGGGAGGGTACAAAAACCAAACAGAAAAACTTTAAAAATCATTGAGCACATGCCCTGCACTATTTTGATGAGAAAACTAAATGTCCAACAAGGTCCATGGCTTGTGTTGGATTTTATATAATTGGTTGATGAATTTTGTTCAGTGACAACGAGAATAAATTTTGTAAGGCAGATGTCATAGAAATCTTAAATTTTGAATTTGCAAAGTCTGCCTATTCTAAAAGTTGGTAGTCAAAGTGGTTACATTCAAGGAAACATTATTAAATTTTGTAGTTTGAAATAATACAATTTGTAGAATTAGTGATTTCCCCCCCTTAAATGTAAACTTCATCTTACCTAGATCTGGCCATTAATATTCTTAGTCTCTGCTGCAGCATCAGGAGTTTAATCATACTTCAAAATACCATGCTTGATTTGCTTGCTGATTTAACCTAGAAAGAATAGAAAAAAAATTAGCAACTTCATTTCTTTTAAAATAATGGTTCCCTAACCTTCTGGCAGTATTAATTCAGTTACTCTATATAAACAAATAAAAAACCCAAAATACTGATAAAAATATTTAAGAAGGTATATCTTAAAAATTAACATGATATGCACCTTATCATTAACATAGCCTTTTCTAAACAAAAATAAACATGCAATCATCTAAATTCCATGATAGTTGGATATCACAATCTTTCAAAGCTACTGATACTGGATTTCCCACCACTGCTGTGGACATGGGGCAATTCCCTCCTTCATACAGTCATCCCTTGGCATCCACTGAAGGTCAGTTCCATAAACATCCCTCCCATAACCAAACGGGTGGATACTCAAGTCCCTTACAGAAAATAGAGTTACATTTGCATATACCTGGACACATCTCCCCATATTTAAAAAATCTCACAAAAGCTCCCAGAACCTTTCCAGAGCAGTCAATCAGAAAACAGATGGTTATGTACAAGCATGCCATAGTCAGAGGACAGCAATAAATTGCAATCTGGTGATAAAAGAGTTACAAGAGACTTTGAAATATTTTGCAAATTTCTTGTCACTTTCTCTACAGCACAGAAAAAAAAAAGGCCACTCAAACAGGAGTACTAACGTTATATAATATACTGAACACCTACCCTAGGTCAAGCATTACATTAAAGGCTCTGTACCATTTCATTTTAATCTATATATTAACTGAGTTAACACATTTGATATGCAAAATACACATTTCCAAAGTCATGCGCCCACGTAAAATCAAAAGTTTCACTCCTGGACTCCAATAACCTATATACAAATCATGTCAGCTAGGTATTTACTGATGCCCTCCTCAGCTATGGCCCTCGGAGTCTTTTCCTTACTAGCCCTTTCTTTTCTCCAGAAGCCTAAACATACATTGTGCATTTTCTTTTTTTTCACATCGCACATTTTCTCTGGTTTATAAAACTAACCAGAACTGAGCTAATTCTACCCTAAAGCATTTCTCTTATATGAATACATATAATCATTATTCATCTCTCTCTTCTAAAAATATTTGGCCAATGAGAAAAATCTCTACTTTGTCTTCTTCTGCTTATTAAGGACCCCTCACCCCCAAATCACGTCAATTATAGTAAATAAGATGAAGAGAATTGAAAGTTAACTCTGTAACTGCCTGTAACTCTACATTAAAAAAAATAGTCCTAAATTTTGAAGCAAAGTTAAACATATGAAAGAAATCAGTTAACCAACTTATAAAGGTCTTTAAAAATAATAAAAAAAAACCATTAGAATGTTTGGAAAATTTTGGTTCTGCTCACCCACCTTCAGTCTGCTTTTTGAGAATCATTATTTATTTGGTTTGATTGTTTTAACTTTTATTATAAGCAAAAGTATTGTGGTACTTTTGCTTGCTTTTACTGTTTTCCAGTGCAAATATCGAGCATGCCGGTTGTATTAGGGATCCAAAGGCTTTTTTGGCTTCAATTAAAAGGATATTCCTAACAAAACAAAGAAAAACACAAAAATCATTCTGCGTTCCAAACAAATTATGACATACCAAAGCAGTCCTGGAATGAACAGAATCCATTAATAGACTGTGGTGTCCTACTTTTGCCTTTGGAGATGCCTCAGAAATGCTCTCTGACTTCCTAACCACTGTGGATGGCCAAGGAAGGAAAGGTAACTGGGAGGCAGGAAGAGAAAAGAGGCAATCATAGCCACTAACTACATGGAGCTATAATTTCATTGCTGGAACATGGTTTTTTTCTGTAAAATATGTATATAATAGCATTCTCTACTTAAAAAGAACACAATGTCTTTACAAGTAGAATCACCTAATAGAAATAAATTTTCATAAAAAGAAAATCATCAAGAGGCTAAATATTCCTTAGATTTAATTTGAATTATGTCATTTAACTCTAAATTACTGAAATATAATTCTTAAAGAGTGATAACTGAAGAGAAGACTTAAGTCTATTCACAAATGTGATTATAAATTTGGTGCTTAGAACGATAGGTCTATTTGTTCTTCCAGTTTACTGAGGGTGAATCTGGCCTACCCCCTTCAGTAGTTCGGTTCAAATACAGACAAGATAGTATTTATGGTAAGAAGCACAGCAATACAATTGTAACAGCCATGTTTAATGACATTAAAAGAATAATAAAAGAATGACTCAAAAAGTTTCTTCTTTGTGTAAGTAGTTTGGTTGTTTTACAATTATTTTGGAGCTTTTCATTTATTTATACATATTACTTTTTGTTTATTCTTAACATTAATAGTGATTTAAAACATTTTAGTTATTTTTAGATGGAGGTAATTATAGAGCGATTTCCAGTACATCCTGCCACTTATCTAAAACCCAGAGCCCTGAAAAGCATCAACACCTGCAATGAAGGGTCCTCACTAGCTGAACGCTTAGAGTACATACATACACAACAAACCACAAAGATGGAAAGCCTGTATCTACATATTGAATGTGGCTGTATCTATATATCTCTAAATCATTGTTCTTCTGTTAGCCCTGCTCCATCTTTTAACCCTCAAAGAAAAAATTTCAACTATGCTATTTGCAAATTACCTCTCCATCTAGACTTATTTTGGGGGAACTCTATATCCCTTATACTATAATATAAACCAGATTCATCTAATTTTCTCAGTAACAGACAAATATTTAAATAAACTACCATCAATTCATTTTTCTATAGATAAATATAAAATATTTAATAAAGTGACATGTCTTTATTTCAGACAGTTGTTTGAATTAAGCTAACAGATGACTATTCGGTAGGAAAAATCATTTGTAAACAGCTATCAATATGATTACGGAGAACAAAAAAGGGAGTTCATTCTTTTTCCCCCCATTCATGGAAGCATTCAACAAGTACTTCCAGAGCATCTGCAAGGAACTAAGTTAAATGCTAGAGATAGACAAAATGTACATTCCTAAATTCCAAAGAGCTTATTCTTTAATGAAGAAGACAGAAACCCGCCCCCACCCACCAAAAAAACAAAACAAAACCACACACAACAACAATACAGAGCAGGGTTACACACCCCACTGGTACGAGCATTTGACTCAAACAAGCAGGAGGACAGGAGTGTCCAGGAAGGGTTCCTGGGGAAAGGTGATTCCTACGTTGGCTAGAGGAAGGGCAACTCACACTAAGAGCATAATGTGAAAGTACAGAAGCCTAAGAGAAAATGGCCAAGTCCAAGAGTAGCAGGTAGTTCCATATGCTGGAATGCCGGGTGTACATAGGAAATCATTATCAGATAAGGGGGAAAAGATATTTCATCCAAGATCATTTTGCAGAGCATATTTTTCCTTACAATCTTAAAGGCACCAATGATATATCTAGTGACATGAAATTAGTAAGAATAAAATTAATGGTATTTTCCTATTGATGGTATCCCAAACCTAACGTACAAGTGACAGTATCCATCTGGAAACACAAACATTTACCCTAGAGCACCGGAACCTACAACAAGCATCAATCTTTAGAAGAGAAATATGAAAGTCAATAAAAAATGTACAATTGTGCATGTCTTTTGCAATTATTGGGAAAATATTATTAAATTGGCTTGCTAATTAAAAAAATTAAAAAATAAAACAGCCCCAATCTTTAATAATGCTGGCCATGACTAAATCCTGGAATCATAACCTTGGGACATTCTTAATACTCAAAGACACTGGTGATGAAATCTAGACAATCAAATTTGGATGCCCACAATATCTGCCCTAAGATATATAAACGCTACAGAAGTGCAAACCCAGCAGATGACTCACTCTATTCTAGCTAATTCAACAATATCATTAGCACCAATAACAACAATCCCAGCACCTTCAACTAGAGGCAAAGTATCACCAGTCTTGAGAATTCATGTAAAAAAGTTCTTTGTTTTAGTGTTCTATGTTAATACATAAAATATGTAGAGGAAAAAACACAGTCCTCGAGCAACATCAAAAGGATGAAACATTCTGAGTGAGCGATCATGTAACTCTCTCCATTAAAAATGCACAGATGCAACACAGGAAGAAGAGATTTGACTATAAGGTAGCTGTAAGAAAACAGTCTTCTCTAGAATGTCTATCATGAACTCTGAAACTCTGATGAATATATTTGAGGCTTCAGAGAAACCACATTAAATTTTCTGTATATTAGCATTCTACACGTGAACTTATATAAAACATTTACTATGCCATTTTATTTTTTCCCTCCTTCTAGTGTACAGTTTAGTGATAACAGCCTCATTAGTCTTGCTGTGTAACTACTAACATTAATCAATGGTGATTAACCTTAGTTGATGGTGATTTCCCCCATCACTACAGATAAAATCCAGTCTTTTCCAAAGAGTGATTTTCTCATTTCCACTGAGTCCCAACCCTGGTAACCACTTGAACACATTGGTCTCAGCATAATTATCTGGAATTTTCATTTTATATATATGAGATCATACAATATTTGTCCTTTCATGGTTGACTTATTTTGCTCCGTTTAAGGTTGTTGAGGTTCATCCATTTTGTAGCATGCATCAGGACTACATCTTTCTTCAAAGCTAAGTAACCGTCTATTATATGCTATTGCACATTTTGTTTATTAATTGTTTGCAACTTTTGAATAATGCTGCAACGTACATCAGTGCGTACACACATGCACACATACATTTGTGTCATTGTTTTTAGGGGGTTTTCAAGACTGTAGATTTCTAACGAAAGCAGACAGCCTTATCTTTCTCCCTTGGAATAGCTGGTGGCTTTGAACTGCCAACCTTGTGGATAGTAGTCAATGCCTAACCCATAGCACCACCAAGAATATTTGAGGACTTTCAATAAAACTTTATGTTAATCGCTTATTTTTCTGTCTCTATCTTTTCCATCTCTCTCTCATACATACCTACAATACATAAACCTACAAAAAGAGGTTAAATTGAAACACACTAAAATTAAATTGGAACACACGCTGAATCATTTGGTAGCGATAAGGACTCTATATTTTTACCTTATTTTTGACAGAAGGTGAGCTGTTTTTATAATCAATAGTGAATTATAAAGAATATACAAACCAATATTTAAAAAAGACTTCTTCCAAAAGAAAAGTTGTAAATGTGTAAGCACCCAAAGGCAGACTCACATATAAAACAGGTTAGGGCAAAATGCAAAGAATACACAGGCCACAGGAAACTGCCTGAAGGATGTAAACAGGCAAAGACCCAATTAATCTGGGCTGGAAGCCTGTCAATACACAGAACTTAGCATCTCTTAGTTTTACAAGTGCCTGTGGCCAGCAAAGCTCAGAATTCACTTATCTTGGAGAATACTCCAAAAGGCTATCGAATGAGAATTTGTGGAGGGACATAGCCTGGGTTTACTCCAAACAGAATGTAGTTGGTATCAACAACCCTCTAAAATACAGAAAGACCATGTTTGGTATCACAATGTGTTCTTTCAAATTTTCTCCCCATTTCCTTCTCTTACCACCTTATATTTGTTCCCAGTCCTTAGTCCTAAGGCCTGAAGATGGCACCCTGGTGCCATTTAGCAACCTGGGTAGAATTAGCAGAGTGACCACTTGGAGCCCCTGAGTTGTGCCAACTTGTTTAGTGAATAAGCTAGCCTACTGAATCTGGTTACTGTCTAAGCTGAGGTCCTCAGGAGAGACTGGTGGAACTGTTAAGATTAGGACCCTCAGACACCTTTCGAATTTAGAATATAGGCTATTCCTAGAGATTACTTGTCAGTCACATCATAGACAGCTTATAAGAGAACAGCACTATCTGGGAGGAACACGCTCTTCAGAATAATTCACTATCGGGGGGAGTTGGGGAGGGAGGCTAAATAATAAAAAGAATAATTCACTATCAAGACCAAAAAGTCAGTGTCTGCCCCAAGGCAAAGTTAAGAAGACAGTAAGGGGCAGGAAAAGTGGGAAGGAAGCTGACACCCAAGGAGATGGGGAAAGTGCTGATATACCGTGGGGACTGCCACTACATCACAGAACAAATCTGTGTAAGTTGTTGAGTGGGAACGAATTTGCTATGTAAACTTTCACCTAAACCACAATGAAATATGTTTAAAAATAAATAAAATGGTTCTATAGGGTGACTATGAGTCAGCATGGTGCTGAAGACTGGGTTTTTTGTTTTGTTTTGTTTTTAGGAATGATAGCCAGTAATGTACAAAAGGGGCAATGCTTCATGACTTCACTGGAGTGATGCTAGGAATCAAAGATTTTTTAAAATTAAGAAAACCAAAGGATTCTCCAGACTCACACATTAAGGGAGAGAAAACTATCCTTATTATGAATACATACTGACAAGATAAATCTTTTCAGAGGCTTCTCTCGACAGAAAGGGTAGAGAAACAATAGTGCTGCTTTGGGAGACTCAAGTAGTCTCTAAAAGGACCCAGCACCCTGGATCTCAGAGGAAAAAGGCTCTAGTGTTCCAGGAATGGGGAAAATTTATACATGACAAATATACTACCAGGATCAGGTTTTT